AAGAATAATTTTTCAGTGCATCTTACAGCTTCATACAAAGAGCTTTATAGTTTCCTTCTGTCAGCACTCTGGACAAATTCGTTTGTCAATAAAATTACCAATATGTCTTGTTTTCCACAGCTCTGAAAGGTTTCTTTTGCTGGCGGGAGGTAGCCTAGAGATCAGTGATATCACGGAAGATGATGCTGGAACATACGCCTGCATTGTGGACAATGGGAATGAGACAGCTGAAGCTCAAGCAGATCTTACAGTTCTAGGTATGTAGAAATTTTGGTTTTCAGAAAGAAGTGATCTTCATGAATTTTATTCCTGTGTTTGTTTCAAGACTTGGCTGCAAACAGATTCCTATTTGTTATTCTTGCAAACACAAAGCTTATATTGTAGCTTAAGTTATTTATCTTGGTTATAACATTGTAGCCACTCAAATGAGGCATTAATTTTTATTTGTATGCATTGACCATACCAAAGACAATAACAGAAACCATATAGCTGCTGTGTATTTCTTACAGCAGTAGTTAATATGTTTGTCACCATAAACCTTCCTAAAAGGGACAATATATAGGTTGTCATGACTGAAGTTGATCTACCTTAATAATTGCCTCCTAGGTCTTACCTGAAAAGGACACTGCTAAAGGTATTTTTCATAATCCTTAAAAATGTTACTTTCTTTAAGTAACCCGCTAGATGATATAAATTGAAATACTGTTTTTTACAGCATAAAATCCTCTTATGTTGTGTGCATATAATTTACCTGTAGGGTTGCTCATTAATGCTGTTTTTAAGTAATAATATTTCCAAACCCACTTTTCCTTATAGTTACTTTGCATATGGGGATACAAAGAAGGTTGATTTCCCAGGGAGCAAGGACAGTTAGGTGACATTTGGGCTGCCTACTCCTTGCTATGCCTCAGCAGGGATTCTCAGGCACACATTATTTTAATTACAATGTTTTTTTAGCACAGTATACAGAGAGTCTCTAGAATGGCAGGCTGCGGTGTGTATGCTGCATCCTTCCAGAGGATGACGGATTAATTTACAGTGGGTTGCCCATTTATAAAGGCTACTTTTTAAAGAACAATTAAAAAAAATAATTATATGATGCCAGAAAGTTTGTAAAAATAAAACCCCAGTAGACGTTATTTTCATAAAACTGCGGGTAATATTGCTTGATGGAAGCTGTCACACCATGTGACCTGCTTTACGCTCACAGGGCAAAGCTATCCAGAGGGGGAAAAAGTACCCTGGGAACTTGCTTTGCCAGTAAGGGGAGCCCCAGAGCTGATGGCAGCGGCTGTCACCGTTTCCCTGCCCCTCCTCCCTGGAGCTGAGCTCACCAGCTGAGATCCCCTTGTTTCAAGGAGCTGCTCCAACTGACCCATGCACAGTGTAGGAAAGACCACTGCAAAAGGCAGAGGGGCCAGGAGTGTCAGGGCTTAAATTCTCCTGGGACATATTATGAAGTGTTTTTTGTGTACATGCTTTTCCTAGGGGTACCATATTTCCAGTTTCAAAAAAGATGACACCTGGGGGGGTGGCGCTGGGATGGGAAGGGGGGTATATGATTGCGGGGGCAGTGTTTTATCTGCCCCTCACTCCCAAGCCACAGGTCCCCCAGCCCTGCTGGTGCCTGCTCACTGC